CAGCAGGTGTGAACAGCTCTTGGCCGAAGAAAAACCCGAGCAGCACACAGAGAGTTGGGAGTCAGCTTTGTTTCGCCGGCGGGCTCAGAGGGGGATGTCTGCCACCAAACTCTGAGCACCCCTTTTTCATTTTCTTTTCTTTTCTTTTTTTTTTTGAGACAGAGTTTGGCTTTGTTCCCCAGGGTAGAGTGAGTGCCCTGGCATCAGCCTAGCTCACAGCAACCTCAAACTCCTGGGCTCAAGCAATCCTGCTGCCTCAGCCTCCCGAGTAGCTGGGACTACAGGCATGCGCCACCATGCCTGGCTAATTTTTTCTATATATATTAGTTGGCCAATTAATTTCTTTCTATTTATAGTAGAGATGGGGTCTCACTCTTGCTCAGGCTGGTTTCGAACTCCTGACCTCGAGCAATCCGCCCGACTTGGCCTCCCAGAGTGCTAGGATTACAGACATGAGCCACTGCGTCCAGCTGGAAATAAGTTTCTTGAGTCTTGTTTTCAGTTTCTACAATGTTCTGTTTTATATTCCTGACACACTGCTGCCTTTCATGCTAGAGGAAGTGGAAGATTCCTTCCCGGGATACAGCCTTACCCTATCTCTGTCAGCTCTCTGACTCGAAGGTCTGTAAAGACATTTCAATTTCCAGGACTAAAAATGTTGAAATTTCATTCGCAATTTAGCACTCTAAGTAGGTCCATCAGCTGTTTGTTTGTTAATGGATTTGCCACAATCTACCCTGACACACTGAACATATGGCTTTACTCAAAAAACAGAAAGTCACAATGCCAAGAACAAAATTCATCTATGGAGGGAATGACATCAATGCATTTGGAATATTCCTAGAACCTAAAATCCCTTTGGGGTATTTTTGGATATGTCACACGCCCTATTATGGAAAATAGGCTTTCTTAAGCAAAGCAAATGAATATCTCAGTCCCTAACAGAAATGTGAAGTCATGTCAGAGCTCCATCATGGAAAACAGCTCATATTTTTATGGATTATATTATATTATATTATATTATAATACAGACATGAAGCTGCGGGTGCCGTAAGTTTTGGAAGTGGGAATGAAGACTGAGCCAAGCTTTTAATTATTTTATTTTTTCTGTTCTTGAGGAGTCCTTCCATCTGCTCGGGCAGAGGTCATGAGGCTGTAGAAAGTCCCACCTTGGATATGACAATAGTTCCCAGTCCCTGCTTTGTTGGGGATTGTGGCTCATGAGTCATTATGCTGAGTCATAAGTAACTTTTAATTTTTTTTTTTCTTATGGAACGCTTCACAAATTTGTGTGTCATCCTTGTTCAGGGGCCATGCTAATCTCCTCTCTATCGTTCCAATTTTAGTATATGTGCTGCCGAAGCAAGCACCTTAAGTTACTTTAAAAATATTTAAATGTAATGAAGTGACAAGAAGAAAAGAGGAAAAGGGATAATCCACATGTCCAGGGAAGCTTTTGCTTATAAAATCTAAGCTGCCCATTTATGGAGACACATGAGGTTTTGCAGTTAACACTCACATGTTGCACTTTGCAAACTGGAACCCCCTGCGCCTCTACACAGGAGGCCACCAAAAGTGGGCGGGAGCTTGGCTAGTCATTTCATCTATCCATTGCTTCAGAATGGCTCAGCTGTTTCTATTATTAAAGACATGGAAACTTTGCCAAAGAAGCCAAACTTCATTTTTCCGTGCGGGCTTTCAAAAGAATTTAATGTCACTTTTGTGCTTGGGATTCTAGCCTACAGGGTGTAAACAAGCCGTCTTGGAGGCAAGTCTCATCACGGAGCCGCCCTGGCTGTCAGTGAGGGGCACAGGTCTGTAGCAGCCTTTCTCCGCAGCTGTCTCATCTTGTCCCCCAGGCCCCTGCCTGCTGGAACTCCCCGTGCCCCACATGTCTGGACACACCAAAGAGCTTCCGGCGGGGGCTGCAGCCGCCCTCCCCGGAAAGAAATAGCTGCCTATAAAATACCCGAGCAGTTCTGACTCAGGCATGACTCAGCTCTTCCGGGACCTGTGCTCTCATTTCTTGTTGCTCCTCCTGGTAGAAACATGCGCCCCCTACTTCTCCCGCTCCAATTTCGCCGGAAAAGATCCCTTTCAAGAGGATTGTCAGATTGTCTTACAGAATTCTTGCTACAGATGGTTTTTCTCCCTTGTCATTGTCCCAACTATCTCTTTTCCCCCTAAATTGTTGGATGTTTCTCTCTTATCCCAATTTTCTAAGAGTTCAGGATTGTCAGTCTAAAATTAAAGGTGAGAATTCATCAGTATTATTGAAAAAACTCTGCAGTTATTTCTCTCGAACTTGTTTTTTTTTTTTTTTCTTGTTCAAATATCTTCCTTCATTGTGAAATAATCAAAGCATTGATGTCGTTTCTGTTTAAGTCTTGGAAAGGACATTTCACTTTAACCTTACCATCGCAGTGACATAGAATGGTTCCTTCTGCGGATTTAAAAAGCTGACATGAAGCTGCAGAGTGCTGAAGAGGGCACCCTGCCTCGGATAAGGAGAAGGGACAGACACACTGGCAGGAAGTGGCAAACTGAATCTCTGTTGGTTTTTCTCTTATGACTTTGACAATTGTTTTTTCCTTAAAAAGAAAAAGAGAACCTATCTAAAATATTAATGCTATTTTCGGAGTTCTAGGATAATCCAGAACAGAGTCACTTTTAAAGAAAAGGACCCCCCTCCACTGATTTGCGTGTTCTTTGACATGGTAAGTTGTATGAAGTGGCCTGGAATTCCTTCAACAGGTGGAAAACAGCAAGTATAGTCATTAGCTAAGCGGTCACGGTCAGAGGAACCGCCAGCTGAAGTTCGATTTCTCATCAAGAGAGAGTGTCCGACACACGTTCCACTGAGCATGCTTGTAAGAGCCTCACATTCTAGATGCACCGAGAATGCATGCATGGAATACACACACCCTGCCCAACAACCGCACCCCAAATCACCCCTGTGCACACATATTCTAACACGGTGACAACACAGCATGCTCCCAAGCCTTCAAGCTTCTACAGCCCTCAGCCAATAAGCTGCCCCAAAGAGGCTCAAGCAGCAGTCGAAGTGGGCCTGCCCTCTGGTACCTACGTCCCCTCCAGAGAACTTCCTGTGACCCCCAGGGACGCAGAGGGGGGTCAAGGCTGCCAGGCAAGCCCCAGGGAGTCACTTTGCTTCCTGTCTTCATTTTCCTCCAATTCTCATCTTTCTCTGGAGACAAAACCCTGTTTTGGGGGCTCAGATAGGCCATGCCAGCCAGGAGTAACCTCCAGCAGAACAGTGGTTCTAAAATTACCTAATGTTCTCTTGGCTTTCTGACTTTTTAAAAAATTTGTGCTTTGTCTCTGCATCCTTTTGTGACAAGTGCAATATTGTGCGTAAGCCAAGTAGGCAACGTAAAGCTGTGACTTCAAAGCCATCCCTTGATAAAACATCAAAACAGCCCAGAGTGAACCCACTGTTATCTGTGTTTCTACAGATAATTAACTGAAACTCAGAGCTCCAGTTGCTACTGAGAGTCTCTGCAGGCCAGATCGTTCTCCTGGTGCTGCTTGATTTTGTTTCTGTGTCTCTTATATCTTGTTGGGCAGGGAGGAACGTGGGAAGTCCTTCAATAAAATACCATTTTGATGTGGAGAGGGGACGTGGGCTTCTGCTTGGCCTAGCCGAGGCCTGACTCAGGTACTTCCTCCTTAAGGCGGGAATGTCTTTCTCTCTCAACCCTAAGACACCACTGCCTGCACCTTTTCCCTGTCCTTGCCTTGGAGTAGCATCGTACCTCCCGCAACTGTCAGAAATACTGCCTTTCCACTCGCTTTTATGAAATGGGACGACACTAGATCTACAAAAAGGACAGAGTCCAGCCTTGGATTTGCCAGTCCCGTGGGCACATAACTGAGTTCCTCTCTCAACTCCCAACTTTCAAACTCCAGCCCACGGAATCCCGTAGCAAGTCAAGCCAATGGCCTCCCCATCCCAGCCCCTCCTGCGTTTTGTCCACTCCCCGCATCCATGCACTGCCCATTCGTCAAGCCCCATCTCCTTGCAAGTTGGAAAACTCACCTGAAAGCCCACCACTTCTTCCAGGCAGCCTCCCTGATTAAGTGAGGACAAAGAAATCCCCAAAGCATGACCGACAAACTCTCAGTAAACAAGAACACACACACACAGCCCCGAAACAAACACAGAAACTCACAAAAAGAGAAAACTACATATTCTCTGCTTTCACATTGCAAAGCTCCTATGGGCTTAAGGAGATCAATTTTACAGCCATAACCAATGAATTATTTCAGGCAATGAGGTATTTTTAACATTCTTGGGGGCTACTTGGCAAAACAGTCTGCCGTATTGTCTATTTTGTACGTTCCTTAAATCTTTCTTTTTCTTAGCGGCCTCCTGAGTGCGTCACTGAGGGCCCTGCCACTCACCCGTGGGGACAAGGCTAATGCGAATTGGGCTTCACACCTTGTGGTGGTGATCACACTGCCCAGGAAGAACCCACCATGAGTTGGCGAATGACTTAAGCATCTCGTTTTCACATCAGGAAGCTTTAACGACTTTTCATGCCCACATACTTCCTGGGCAAACATGCCTGGTGTGTTGGGATAAAGGACATTCTAGACAAGGCCCTGCTGAAAGATCTGGGCAAAGGTTCCTGACAAGGCTCAGTGTCCAGCTCAGATAAGGCTGCTAAAGACCCCGGGAGGTCTAAAGACTCTCGGAGGAGCACAGATCTGCAGCAGTTGCACCAGGAAATAGAAAGACACACATTTGCTCTCTCCGAGAGCTGCCCTCTGAGGTTGGTGTTAACGCCACTTGCGGGGGGCCCGAGAGACTTGCGGCATAAAATGACCAGAACGAGGAGAGACACGGATGGGATGGCAATAGCTGGCAACTCGAACATGGCATCCAACACCACGGCCACAGAAGCTTTCTAGCTACAAGCCACGCTGTGCGACCTTTAAGCAAAACATCATTGATTTCGTGGTTGTAAAAAACATACCTTCAACTGCAGAACTCAGTTTTATGACACCTTGAATAAAAACAGAAAGTGGCAGTTATGTAATGGACCCAAATGACCTTTTCCGGTCTTTTCATAACACACACATGCTTCAGACCTGGGTTTTCTGAGGGCATTTCAAGAACTTAACAAACATCAACTTCAAAAATAAAATATGTTTTAGTTCTGATTAGACCTCATGGGTGTCTTCATGTCTCCCACTAAAAGACTTTGGGGGAAGTTTTCACTAGATATGGAATCATACGTGTTTTTGGATGAGACAAAGGCTAAGTCTGTCTGAGTGACTATTTCTGTATATAAATTAAGCCGGATTATGGATCTATAAAACTTCACACAATAGGACACAGGGGAGTGGCCCTTCCTAGTGAGTACTGTATAGAGATCAATTCGTGCATGCTGGGACAGAGCTGCTGCTGAGATATATATAACAGGTGGTTCAAAACCATGGTGTGGTCTGGCAACTGTCTTCTCGAGGGGGGTGGGACCAGGGCCCTTTCTTTGGTCTGATGGGTTCAGCTTTCAGCTCCCTGCAGGACAGAGAGTGAACAGGCTGTCTGAGCATGCGGAGTTGTTCACGAAGCAAGTCAATATCCTTGACTGAGATTCATGTGCCTTTTTGGTGAATCTAAAGGTGAAAATACTAAACTAAGACAAATTAGACCTGGTATGATCATTTGACTTAAGACGTATTTTTTTGTAAGTCATCGTTATAAATAAGTAATATTCCCTAATCCCAGTGTGGTAGTCATGATCCTTTAGGCTGAACAAAAATGTCTGCAGTTTCATTTGGTTGAATGTCTGGTTCTCTTTCAAACTGGAGGAGTTTCCATTTAAAAATGGAAATTGAACTACAATTTCAATACTGGTCAATCAAATTGGTGTTGGCATGAACATACTGGTTTTAACAGATGATGTTCACAAAGGGACAAACTTGCTCTCCAGTATGTCTTTCTGATAAAGCTGTTTTTAAGTTTCCTATTGAATTTCATCTTTCCTGCAGGGCCAGAGATGTCTGAGCCAGCACTGAACAAGGACTTCTCCAGGGGAGAAAGTATTCTTATATATGTACACATATTTATTATAAATTTTGCTGATATAAAGGATATGTAGCATATAATTTACACATCACAAGGAAATACAGTATCTTTTTTTTTTTTTTTTTTTGAGACCGAGTCACACTCTGTTGCTCTGAGTAGAGTACAATGGTGTCATCATAGCTCACAGCGGCCTCGAACTCCTGGGCTCAGGCAACCCTTCTGTCTCAGCCTCCTGAGTAGCTGAGACTACAGGTGCACGCCACCACACCTGGCTAATTTTTTGTTTCTATTTTTAGTTGCTCGGCTAATTTTTTCCATTTTTAGTAGAGATGAGGTCTCGCTCTTGCTTAGGTTCGTCTCGAACTTCTGACCTTAAGCAATCCTTCCACCTTGGCCTCCCAGAGTGCTAGGATTACAGGTGTGAGCTACCATGCCTTGCCATACAGTATTCTTTGTGGCAAATTCCATATAGTGAATTGATTCTCAGAGAGTGCTTCTGTTGATTTTGGACAAAGTCTTGTATCTGCAGCCAGCAGTTCAACAACAATTGGACAAAATCACGTATCCAGTTGCATCCCGGTCTGCTCTTTCCCCGATAAATTTATTGTCATTACATCTTTTATGTGATCTACTCTTAAATTAGTTTTCGCCTTCATATGAATTCTTTTCATTAAATTAAAACCTCTTTCAGCTTCAACGCAATGTCAATACCCGGATGGTGACCTCTTCGCCACTGAGTGTGGAGCTGGGGAGAGATGCACAGTGGTCCCCACCAGCATGTGGCACTTCCCCCTTATAGGGACAGTCAGTGTGCATAATCTCAGGGATATGGACGGTAAACTGTAGTCAAACCATTAGGAACTGATGAGTTTTAAGTATCTATTACTTTTGTTTCGGTATAATTTATTTTATTGTAAGTTTATATAATTTGTAATAATAGGCTTATAAAATTCCTGAAATTGTAACAACTGGCTCTTGTGGGCTGGTATGGACTGGCTTTAGGGCACCACTGTTATACCTGAAGTTTCTTTCCATTCAGACACAAAGAAGAAAATCTTAAACTTCAGAGTACTTTCTGAGGTGTTCATAAAAGGGGTTATAATTTGAACAGGCCAAATGAGAGTAAGCTTAGTATTTACTATTATTTTGCCGGTCATTTCAAACTCTCATATACCTGTCATTGCAAAAATACACTATACATACATCGCCTTGGAAATACTAGTCATTGACAATTAACTAAGAACACATCATAAATGGATTTGATATTCTTTTGGTCAAGCAACTAAAGCAAGAGGCAAAGTCAGGTACAAATAATTGGCTGATTAAGCAATGATCTCATCTTTTCAAACCGTGGAATATTAATTTATTTTAGGCACATTCATGTTTGTGTATAATCATAGTGTCAGCAAATGTCATTCAAATGAAAAGACAACAATGTGCTCTAATCAGTGTGTAAAAACAGGCTCTTTGTAAAAAAAACAAGAAAATCCAAACAGATTCTTATAGAAGATAGGGATGGTGGGGGAGGGGAGCCCAATAATGCATTTATTGAGTTGGGGAAGAAAGGTAAGTTCAAATACAAACAAAAGCCTGACTTTAAAACTCTAATTATAAACATTACCCTAATAAAAACATTTTATTCACTAGCTCCATATGAGCTTTTCTTACATCTTTAAGCCCCAAATCAAATTTTTTCTCTATACTTGGTTAGGCCTTTACATTGGGAAGTAACTGTGTTATAGAGAAAATCTAGAATGATCTAAGTCTGGTTATATAGCTTATATTACCATGATACACAAAATTGTAGAATGAGAGGAAAAGGTATCTTAAAATATGAATATTTTTGAAAAATTTGAAGATTTACGAAGTGATTGATGTTGATGTTAAAAAGCTACACGTAGCACTGCTGACTCCCAGGACACACCATGGACATTATCTGGTGAGCAGCCGACATTGACATTGCCTGGAATTCTGGGTAAGCCATAATACGTATATATGTACACACACACACACACACAGTGGACCCCCCCCATTTACTTCTTCACAGTCTACAGATGTGTGTGAAATAAAATTGAAAACAAAAGAGAAAGAAAAAGAAATCCAACCTTTTTCTCTGAACTCAGTATCTTTAATGTAGCAACATTTCTAAGCTTGAGGTGATTTGTTCAGACTATTTCCATGATCTCCCACAAGCCAGTGCCAATCCTGAGCCAGGTGGGTTTTCTGCAACAGTTCTCCGGTTCCACAATTATTCTACCCTCTTTCCTACCACTTTCACCTAAGGATTAATTTCAACTGACCTAAAATAATTCATAGGAGAAAAAATCAGGTTAAAATAATTCATGCTAAAGTGTGAATGACTAAGGCTCACTAAGCCCTTCCAATGATAACTCATGTTGAAATGCTAAGTGAATTTTTAACTCTGGCCAACAAGACCCTACATGATATATCCCTGCCTATTTCCCTAGTTCTTCTCCTTCATCTCACGTGACTTTCTCTCTTATTCAAGATGCTACAGACACATGTTCTCTGCTTTGCAAAGCTAGCTCCTTTCTGCCCCAGGCTAGTGTACTTGCTGCTCCGTCTGGCTTGAATGCTCTCTATTAAATTGCTAACTCTTTCTGCAGCCAGGTCCTTTTCTTTACTCAGATTTTACTTTTTTTTTTTTTTTTTTTGAGACAGAGTCTCATTCTGTTGCCTGGGCTAGAGTGCCGTGGTGTCAACCTAGCTCACAGCAACCTCAAACTCCTGGTTTCAAGTGATCCTCCTGCCTCAGATTCCCAAGTATCTGGGACTACAGGCATGCACCACCATGCCTGGCTAATTTTTTCTATATATTTTTAGTTGTCCAGCTAATTTCTTTCTATTTTTAGTAGAGATGGGTCTGCTCTTGCTCAGGCTGGTTTCGAACTCCTGACCTTGAGCAATCCGCCCGCTCGGCCTCCAGAGTGCTAGATTACAGGCGTGAGCCACCGTGCCTGGCTCAAATGTGTTATTTAACTGTGGCTGTTACTGAGCAGAGCACTCAGATTTCATTACATTGACCACTGTCTATTTCTATTCAGAAGCTGGGCTTTATAAAGGTTAGTAAAGATCTATGATAGAGTGAGTTACATAAGTCACAGTAGATATTTCAGGGGTCTCTGAGAGGTAGGTTTTTTGATTACCTGGAGGCAAGATTATGCTCTAAATGGACTTCAAGGGATATTAACTAATTAATTTATATCGAAATATCTCTGGAATCCACACTTCTCTTGTCTCTATTGTTATCCCTGGGCAATTATTATAGGAATGTCCACAGGAATCTGTATGATAGGGTACAAAGAAAGACAAACTAAAAAATAATCATTCAGTTTTTAATATCTTCTTTTTTTTTTTTTTTTGAGACAGAGTCTCTCTGTTGCTGGGCTAGAGTGCCGTGGCATTAACTCACAGCAACCTCAAACTCCTGGGCTCAAGTGATCCTCCTGCCTCAGCCTCCCAAATAGCTGGGACTACAGGTGTGCGCCACCACAGCTGGCTAATTTTTACAAGAGATGGGTTCTCACTCTCGCTCAGGACTCAGGCTGTCTAGAACTCCTGAGCTCAAGGAGATCCTCCGCCTTGGCCTCCCAGAGTGTTAGCATGGCAGGCGTGAGCCACCGCACCCAGCCCATGTCCTTCTAATTCATTCCTATACTGCAGCGAGAGTGGCCTTTTTAAAAGGTCATGTGATATCCCTCAAATTCTTAAGATAAAATCAATTAAGCCTTGAGGTGACCTGCAAAGCCTTCATGGTGTCACCTATAGCAAATTCCTCCTGTAGAGAGGTAGAGGCTGTGTCCCCATCCTTGAGTCCGGGTAAGCTCTGTGACTGCTTGACTATTAGAGTGTGGAGGAAGCGATACTGTCTCCCGGTTCTGTGCCAGTCCTCTTGTCTCGGGGACACTCCCTGGGAACCCTGCCCTGCAAGTTAGAAGTCGGGGACTGCTGTTG